AAAAAAAAGTTTTTTAATTTTATATTTTATTCATAGACTTCATTGTTGAATTGATAAACAATTTAATTGCATTAAACTGTCACATATCTGTAACTTGATAAAAGTTTAGCACAAATTCAGTATGTATTTTAAAGTACTTCACATTTTCTGTTTCTTTCAGATTTTTAAAAAAAAAAAAAAAACTGTGTTAAAAATGTGTAAGTTTATATTTAATACAGTAGATAATAAACTGAAACCATAAAAACAAAACATTCAAAAAGGTGACATATTTTTTTCTTTAAATAACAACAAATTAAAATTGTTAAATAATATAAGGCTATTTCACAAAATACTTTATATGCGAATGTACTGTACATTATTTACATGAATAATATCATTAACATGCATTAGTGACATCTGCCACATTCAAAACATCAGATGGCCTCCAATATTTTAAATCGAGTCCTTTATAACGGTACCAACATCATTATACTTAGAAAATAGAGCTGGTTAATTTTAACACCATTAAATGCTACAATGTATTACATGTTACAAATATAGATTACTGATTTCAAGAGAAGTTAAAATTTACTGTATTACCATGATTGTTATTAGTGATACTTTGATCCAGTATTTATGGTGTCACATACACTGAATGTGTACTCATAATTAAACAAGTTAATAATCATTACTGAATATCCAGTAATATAATTTCATCACTGTATATAACAGGTAACAACTGCTAATGCCTAATTGAAACTTTCTAAATATTTTATGAAATTGATCTCCATTAGCTAAAATATTTTTCAAAATATACTTCACTTGATAAAACATTCACTTCCCAGTGGCGAAAAAATTAACATACATACATATTAATAATCCTTAGAAAAAACCCTTTAGCCAGGTATATATTTCATAGCAGCCATCCCTTGAATGCTTTTGTGAGGTAAACATTCAACTTGATTTGAAAAATATGTTACTTTTTAAAAAATTTTCTTTCCTCTCCTATCTTGATATATCTTCTACAACAGGGATTTTCAACCAAGGGGGCTTCAGGGGAAAGAACATGGTCAGCCTTTTATTTATATGTTAAGTATTTAGTTTTAGTTCATGAATATCAAAATCTACTTTTGTTCAAGTTTTGGCACTTATCAACATTTTCTACACTTTTGTTGTTTAATTTATAAAACAAGTTGAAACATAGTCTGAATCTAAATAAATGTATAGGCATTTTTCAAGAGTTGGAGAGAGGGGAGGGAAGGATTTTCTAGCAATGGCGAAAGAGAAGCATGGGGCAGAATAGGTTGTTTTATTATTTTTAATACATCTATGTTATAGTATTTATTATAATTAAAGCCATGCCTTTCAGATACTTTTATAATTGATGAATCAAAGTAATATCCTTTTAATCTTCATTCAAAAACACATTACCATCATAAATATTCATCTAAAATGTGTACGTAGGAAGTATTTTTGTGTTTTTTTTGTGAAAGGGAAGGCCATAAAGTACTGTACTTCCTTTGTATTCTCAGATTAGTCATGCTACTGTAACATTTATGTTCTCAAAACCTGTGCACTGTATTATCATTTTCCAGGTTACAACTTTAGTTTGACTAAAAAGAAAAATAAATTCACAAATGTTTTATTGCACAGAACTTATAAGTTTACAAAATGTTGAGTAGATACTAAAAATTAAGAAAGGTTGAAAGCAGTAAAAATCATACTATGCAACCAACTCCAGAAACCACCTGTTGGTGTTTAATGATCTTTTGCACATGTTGGTTCATAAAGACTGGACAAGTTTCACAAAGATTTAAGAATATTTGCATAGGCAGTTATATTCCTGTATTAGCTAATTCTGTTTCAAAGTCATCAGACATCATGTCAGTAAGAACTGCATGTTACAATTCAGAAATATTCAAGAAACACAATTAGGTGTTTATCATGTTTCAAAATTAGCAAAGCTTTTCAATAAAAAAGAAATATTTTAAGTAAATTGCCAAGGGTTTCTTATTTCAACAATAATGCTTACTTACACGAATAAAGAAATAGCGGTACTGTTCTGTTATCGGAATCGAGTTCAGAAATGTATGTATGCGTTTATGTATGCATGTATGTGTTCATTGTATGCATAAGTACAAATATATGTGTGCATACAAATACACATATAAGCACATACATACCAACACACGTTCATACATTTCTGAATCCAGTCCCTTGATAATAGAACAGTACCAAAATAACTGTTACTGCTTTTGCTCAGTATCCGAGGAAGCATATTCCTTGGATGTACGAATTGTAAACTTTTCTATACTTTACTTTTTATAGCTAATAAATAAAGCTTTTCCTTCAGATTTTCAATTTTTCTTTTTCGGTTATAATTAAAAACAGATTTTAATAGCAGTAAACTGAAAATAAAAGAAGCAATGTACTGCTGTTTACAATAATGTAAAAATAAAGCAGTAATTTGAAAATACAGAACTATGGATTTTTACTTGACTCTTAATCTATACAATCTCCTCATGGTAATGGTAAAAAGCATGGGAAAAAAAAGGGAGGAATGAGACTGTAAGCTGTCAAACTATTGGGGTTATAGAAAAGTATAGTTAGTTTTTTGCTATTGCGTGGGCCTTCAGCCCACTTCAGGATCAATATAGGGATCAAACCTCACTACTGCATCACATAACAACTAATTCGTTGGAAATTTGGATCATTAGATATGTTTTGTATTTCCTAATGCAAATCACAGTACAGATATTTATAGGGCATTCAGTACGATTTGAGGTACATTATGAATGCAGGTGCTACCAGGATAAAAAACATTTATCTTTTCTGCTACGCTGATGACCACTACACATTTCAAGAGTAATATCAACATGGTAGTTACAGATATGGCACTGTTTGACTTTTGTTTTTACTTATCAGAGATTAGCAAATAAGGCATAGTTTGAAATTATTATACACACAATGTGATTTCAAAAAATTAAATTAGTAATTATTAAAAAGACACACAAATCACAAATTCTGTTTCAAAAGCAATTACGTGAGTAAATTATGAATACAACGTGAGTAAATTATGAATTCCGAGTCTCAGTTTGGCCATGCTTGATCTTTACATAAAGTATATGGCATATAATTATAAAAAAATAACTTCTAAGAAACAGTATATTCTTAATTTGTTTTAAGAATATGTTCTGAAAATTATTCAGATTTTTGAAGTTTTTAAAAAACAACACTTTTTTTTTCACTTTCATACAATATATAAATTGCTATTTCAGTGTCGATGAAGTATCAGACTTTCAATACTCAGCTACATAAATTTCTATCCATAAAAATTGTTTTCTTACTTTTTCATCAGCAACTAATAACAGATTTTATTTTAGATATAAAAAATGCACTCAGATATATATGTTCTGCTTTACCACTCAGAAATAATACTTAAGCGAATTTTGTGGCATGGGCTATACTTTCACATCATTTTGAGTTTATTAACTTTCTTTAGAATATGGTCACTTTTATCTGGTTGCATGTGTAGTCTCCCTTTTATTTTTTGTTTATTATCTCTGTCTTTAAAATATATTGAACTCGCATTCTCTACATTGATTATATATTCTTTATGAAAATGAATATTTAGACAAAATAATGCATAAGACAATTAACATTATATAACATTACAGAATTAATTCTAGAATGGCTACTATGTGGAAGGCTATCAAATACTGCATTTTTAAAGTAAATAATAGAAGCATATTTCTATCGTAGTTATATGAGAACTGAATAATATGAGATTATAGTATAGTTAGTTATACGACAATATCTGAAATAATATTTTCACAAGCATACACATAATGTTTCAATACTTGGGTTTTCAAAGCAGAAAAAGTTATAAAATAATACACATCCAGTGTGTTATTTTATAAGTGTCAAAAGTAGCTAGTTATCTGTTACATATGTAGATCATATGAGCAGGAATGTGATATATTAATACATATATAAAATTGGATCGAAAAGTAATTGCCATGTGTTTTCGCAATAGACGTACATTAATCGACTTATAATGCTAATTTAGCAACATAACAAAACCACAAATTAGCGATCAGATACCAAACAAATATAAACACATCTTAATCCCGTTTTTCCCCATGTATTTTCCTGTTCTCCTTAGTACCTATCTATTCCCCACATGATATTTACTTCCGTTGGCATAATGAAATGTCGCCCATATCCTTAAAAGAGCCAAGTTGGCGCAACCAAGGCTGTTCTCCGAACCTTACCCGGTTTTGCCGCCAGTATAAAATATAAATAATAAGAGTACTGTCTGCTAAATTCAACAAAATTTATGCGTTTATGAAATAAATAAATTACGTATCTAAATTATCTGAATTGCTGATTTGTTGACATCACTTGTTTAAATCATTTGTTTAAAATTAACTAGCACTAGCACGCAGTATGATGTGTATCGTCTGAGAGACAGCTATAAAATGTTTTCTTAATTGCCAGTGCCAAGAAAGGCCAATAAGTCCAAACAATAGCTGTCGAAAACAAATTGTAAAAAATCGGGACTGTCTCGCCGAAAGCGGGACGTCACGTCACCTTATCTTAGATGTTTACCATTTCCCAGAGAAAAGCACAAATATCCATCTGACATTCTCCATCCTTAACATTTGTTACTTATATTAGATTCTTCAGTTCACTGATTTGGACCTTCAAACAGACACTCACCTTTTTCGTCGACTGATGGCGGCCACCTGACATTTACTTTCGTCTTTTGGTTTTACTGATGTTCTTCTCGTGATACAGAGCAAACGGAGGCGCTGCTTTCTGAAACTCAAATTCACTATATGTTCTTAGTTAAGCTCCTCTAGTATATACAGGATACATGATTAGTTAGTTTAGTAAAAGCGCATAGCTGCAAAATAATTTTCGCTATTTTTGGAACACGACCTTGGTTTATATTCAGAGATGGCAACACTTCTATGTTCCAGTTTATAGCTAATACAGAATGGCATTGACTTGAAATATTGCAATCATTATGATTAGAGTGGATTTCTATTATTGTGTGCCGCTTTCATAGTTGATATGATGTTTGCAATGTAGTTGAATAGTGTTTTGTTGTGTTTGAGATTAAAACTACTTATTTATCGCAATATTTGGAAAATACGATTGTTAGTAAAATGGCAGAAGCAGTTGCCGAAGAGTATCGATCATCGTTATCTGATCTGAACTGTAACAGCAAGCCTCATATAAATATGCTAACAATGTTAGCTGAAGATAACATCAAGCATGCTCAAATAATCGTCGAAACAATCGTGAATCATATAAAATCGGTAAGTATTAATATGTAGTGTTATGTGATGAAACAGAAATGCGAATATCGGAGTGTAACATTATTTTTTGAATTCGTATATACCTACACGCGTATATACATATGTATGTCGATTTACTTTCGTTTCAGCATATTTATTTTCTTCAGAATTGTTTTTAGGTTTTTATTCATTTTTTTTACATAGTACATACCCATAATGTTTTCAAAACATATTTTATGTGCCAAATTAGATATGTATCCTCCTAGATGACTTTCAATTTTTCTGGGCAGTTTCATCAATGTGTTTGCAGATTATGATCCCTTGTATGTGAATTTCAGAATTTTAACGTAATGGTAAACAGCATACTGCAGTTTTCACCGTCTTCCCCAAATTCTTGGAATTTGTTCTTTTTGTATGCATAGAGCATAATTATGTCGTTTGCTTGGAAGCTTTTCTTTTTTCCTTCACATTTTATGATTTTCAACATTTAAATCGAGCTAAGGAACTTCAGTTTCATCAGGCTTTTGAAATTTATGATTAGTTTTGTGTGCTACTACAACAGTGAAACAGTGAAAAAAAAAGTGTGTGCTAATTTTAATTTAATTACAAACTAGAGAAAAATTTAAAAAAAAGAAATTGTTTTTTTAATTATGCTTTTCAAAAGCCAGTCATTATAATGAAAAAAGATAAATGATAAATGACAAGATACATTCAAGCTAAAAATTTCCGTTTCCGATCTGTAGAAGAATCAAACCCCAGACTTCCATGATATATAATGCAACACACTCTCTTTTTATAGCTTGAGTACATGTCAAAATAAACATGTTTAGGTAAAATTTCTAAATCTTGTCATTTACTGAAAAATATCTAAAAAAAAAAAAGGCCTTAAAAGTTGATGACAAAATATTTAATAATTAATTACGGAACTACTCTGATATGCGCCCTCAAGTCGGCAAATATTTTTGGCGAGAAACTTCACCCTGCCATATTACTATCTAAATTTTTTGTCTACATTTCGAACTTTAAGCCTAAAATGTCTCCAAAAACACGGTTTTTGCACATGCAAAAACTACGTTTTGAACACATGATTTAAGCTAAAACTCCGAAACAAAAACAAAAAATTTAGATAGCAAAAACGTAAAGTTTCTAACCAAAAATATTTGGCAAGAATCCATGTACACAGCTACATTAAACAGGATGGTATTCTTTGAAACTTATTGTTATGTTAATTTATTAAAGCGAGGTGTGCGTAGTTTGTAAATTCGTTTGTTGCCTACATTGTGCCATTCGTAGATGTTTTTTTAAGTTAAAACATGCGCTGTGTACATGGATTCTTGTCAAATATTTTTGGTTAGAAACTTTACGTTTTTCTTATCTAAATTTTTTGTTTTTGTTTCGGATTTTTAGCTTAAATCATGTGTTCAAAACGTAGTTTTTGCATGTGCGAAAACCGCGTTAACAACTCCAACATCGTACCTTTTCATACTAAATTTACTCTGAACACAATCTAAAATACGCAGCTGAAACCTTCCCACCACGTCTTTCATCGCAACATAGGCCATTTCAAAAACACATGCGACACGAACCAACTAGTAATTATTAAACTACTCCACCAAAAGATTTTTCAACGTCGACATGGTTGCCATACAACGTGCAATAGCGCCAAAAACCAGCGCAAAACTCATATTGCCACATTTGGTGAAATTAGGGCGTTTATCAGAGTTGTACCTAAATTACATACAATTATTTGTATAATGTTATACAGTGGCATAATTTTCTCTATTGTCATAAGTATTGAATATTTATATATTTTATACATTTGAATATTTATTATACATATTTATTATTTCATTCAAGTAAGAATAAATTGTTAATGTTTAAATTGAGAAAATTTACCTTTTCCTTGCAGTTGTCAATATTTATGCATTTTATATTAAAATTTGATATTTGCTTATGTGTGTTGCTAAGCTTCTGTTTCTCACTAAGAATGCTTGATAAAAGTATATTTTAGGGTACCCCTTGGTGAAACATGGCAATTTTTGGTGTTACATGGATACCGAATTTGTGCAAGTCTTTGACTTACTTAGCACAAAAATCGCCACAACATAAAGCCAAAATAACAAGACAAAGAATTGAACCAACTCGGTATCCGTGTACACATCGACCTATTTTCACTTTAAAAAACATCAGAGAATTGCACAAACTGGGCTTTGCATACTCCCTTGAGTTTGTCCATGTACACATTGATATATTTTCACTTAAAAAACTCAAAGGAGCACTCAATTCTACAGTAGAGACAAACAAAAAATACATTATCTCAATAAACTACATTTTAAACCAAACAATAAAATAACATAAAAAAGGATTATGCATTTAAGCATTACACAAAGTAAATATTCACTTACCTCCGTGGCACACAAAATTCCCTAACAGCATCCAAAAACTTCTTAAAATTATCTGAACTAGAATCCATATATCGGCGTCGCTATATAAATTCACAAAAGTAAAAAATATCATATGTATGCCAGACTATCTCGAAAATGGCTAATAAGTAAATCTTCAATTAATGCACTTTTCCCCTTTCGTTCCAAATTGTACAGAAACTTCAAATTAATCTTACTACATTCAGCCATTCTCCTGTCTAAACAAAAAATCTGATGTGTACACCACATGACTTCCTTGTATGGAATATTAAATTATATGCATTTTTTCTTGCATTTCATTTAAACTTATTGGATTGAATTAAATTTACTTCGCCGACAGCGCATAAACCACAATAGAATAATTGCATTCTTTAAAATTCACTCTAGTATTTTTTTACCATAACGACACTCTGGCGCTAGATTCACTTAACAGTATTATATTCGTTCATATTATAACTCATAATGCACAAAATTTATATCATTTAAAGAATAGAATTATCTAATCGTTGCCACATATTCTATTCAAATACTATAATAAAGCTAAAATGTTGTATAAAAGAAATTAAGCAAATAAAACAAAAAAGAAACAGTTTTTCACAGATGATTGAGTATTTCTCATTTAATTAATTCAGTTCTCACTTCACAAGAAGGCAAAAATACACAAAAACTCAAAATATCTTTATTAAAAATTACGAAGTAAATTTCCTATTTTCACTTTAAAAAAAAATCACAGAATTGCACAAAAATGGCATTATGCACATTCTTGACTTTATCCATGTACACATAGACCTGTTTTGAAAATTGACGGAAATCCAATTCTTCTTACTCTCGTAAAAAAGCGCTAAACAAATAAAGTGGGCGATTCGGCACTTTAGCAGCGAAGTTGTTTTGGTGAAAATGTGCTTTAGCCCACTGCTTGGCAATTTTCAGTAGCGGTGATTTTTTGAAAATCTCAGAATACGTTATATAAACAAAGTTGCGAAGGCGGAGCTATGTGACGTTCATAGATGGGTGGGACTAAGATTGTGATGTCACAATGTATTCTCTACAGATGTAGAAATAAGTATACTAAATTTTTTGTATTTCAAACTATTAAATACGGTAAGTGAATTGTAACAGTTATTAAAACTGTAACAATTTATTAAATAGTTATTAAAACTGTAAACAACGTCGCAGTCTCTCACACAGGGTGAATATTTTTAAGCTTTAGTCTTTATACAAATAAAAACAGATTTTTTAAAAATTTTAATTTCATATTGCGAAACATTTTAACTTTATCATCTTTACAAAATTACCTTATTGCTACGTAACGACACCATCTCTTACATACTAGTAAGTAAACAATCTTCATTATTTTTTAAAAATTTTTAAGCCTTTATATTAATAAAAAAAGAAAAATATTTATTATTGAATATCAACATCATACACAGCTTTCATTTCCATGTTTCTTAAATTCCTAAACCACGTTCTATACTTTCGTATTAGAATTCTACACATTAATAAATTTAAAAAACCTAATTTCTCACAATGAAAAAAAATAAGAAAATATTAAAAATAAGCAATTTTAAAGAAAAAATATTTTCACTTACCCTTTTCAGGAAAATAAAAAGTCTTTTTGACAATGACGGCACGTTTCCCTTGCATTTCCAATAAAGTAATAAATTTACACGTACATTCACTCACCTCTCTCAGCATCACAGATAAATCCATAGCGATTGTTTATTTAACGAAATATATGCAGAAAAATGGCAAAAACACACAGATAAAACCACTCGATTGATAACTACCACGTGAGAACATTCAAACGGCAAATGAATTAACTGCTCAAATTATGAAGTAAAAACTTGGAAATTCTTTTTAACTGCAAGTATAGTTTTGAAAGCATAAATTATTGTCTGCTACTTGACAATTTGCCTTTGGACATTTGTGCTCTTCCGGAGAAATTTATTCGTATCTAGTTATTAAAAAACGCTGTGAAAGCCATGGCTTTTCGATATCTAAAGCTACGATAGGTAATATTGTCAACGACAGGAAATTTTAAAAAAAAGACAACAAATATAATGAAATTAAAAAAAAAAAAAAAAAAAAAAAAAAAAAAACTGAAATTTAAGACTTTACATTACGCCCCAAAGGTGCATTTTTTTAAGACTTTGCGTGTTACCTTTATTAATTAAATGTCATGTTCTTCGTACTTAAACCGTAAAATTCAGTTCAACAGCAATATAACAAAATAATTTTAAAATAAGCATATCTTTAGATTTTCCGATACAAAGTCTCGCGCGCTGGAGATAAAAATGTTTTTATCTGTAGAGCATTGTCATTGCTTGCTTTGAAATTCCTCAGTATGTTAATCAAAAATTCGTTAAAGTTTTACAAAATATGAAAACGATAAAAAAACAAATTCCAAATTTAAAATTTGGGGCTTCCAAATGCCCATATTCGCATGAGGATGACGTTATTCTAAATTTGATCTATCTAGGTACCGTTGTTTTATCAAAATGCGGGAAACATACATACATTTATGAAGATTTTTAACCGTTTAATTCCTTTAAATATAATACAGGGCAATAATATTTGTTGACAACAATTTGAAGCATT